ACACACACACATACACACACACATACACACACACATACACACACACACACGCACACACACACACGCACGCACACACACGCACACACACACATACACACGCACACACACACACACACACAAAGAGACTCACGTTTATATGTATATACATGCAGAGACAGACAGAGGGGGAAGGCAGAGAGAGAGTTGTATGTGTTGGATTCTTGTCTGTGATCTTAAATTAGTCTCCACTTCTCCGAGACAGAAGGGAGAGACACTGTGCTGGAGGGCACCATGTATGCATGGTGAGACTTCTGGTATTTTCAGAGAAAGCCTGAGCCCAGAAAAAATATGCCCAAGGCCCGACCTTTGCCAACATCCATCAGGGAAGGTAGCCTGCAGACACTACTCCCCTCAGAGTATCCCAGGCCCAGGCAGTACAGGCCTGTGTCTTTCGCCCTCTTCACCCTAATCAAGCATCCCAGCAGTGCACTTCCGGGCCTACCCAGGCCCCACCCCCACACGCTGCCCCTGACTCACAGCTGGGAGGATTTTTTTCCTAACAAGCTTTTCTGGTCAGACATCAGCTGAAGAAAAGGCCTCTCTGACTAGGCAGTTGGACTTTTTCCCTACCTCTTTTACAAGCTTCCAACAGCAATCTTGCCAACTGCTCACGGTTTTCCTATTTGAATGCAAAAGAGAGTGGAGGAAACCCCTGATCTCACAGCCACACACACAGAAGCCTCATTCAAGACCCCCTAGCCTCTGTTTCCTGGCTTACTGTCTTGGGCAAGTCCTTTAGACCGTGAGTCTAGCCAGTTCTCCATAGAAATGGGCAGGTGAGTATCCTGACACTTGCCCTGCCCATAGCCAAGAGCTGTGGTAGATGGAAGACCTCTGGTGCACTGAAAATCCTCCAAACCTGGCATGGAGGCATGTGCCTGTCACCCCTACTAATCAGGAGATATAGGCAAGAGAATCAGAAAATCAAGGCCAGCCTCAGCTACATGGGGAGGTCCAGACCACTTGAGTTACATGAGTTTCTGTGTGAAAAATTAAAATTTTACTTTGTATTATGTATATATACATACGTAAAGTAAAACATGCCTGACGAGGTGGCTCAGAAGGTAAAAGTGCTTGTGACACAAGCCCGATGATCAGTGTTTAGTCCTCAGAGAACTCGTATGAAGATGGAAGAAAAGAACCAACTCCACAAACTTGTTCTCGGGCTTCCGTATGTTTAATGTGTCCTCCACTCCCTCACATAAATAAAATGATGCTTTGAATTTTTAAATATAAACAAAATGCCCATTACAGAAGATAGGAGAGATTGTTATCTTTCTTCTCATGAAGCTCCCTTGGTTATCAAAGCCAGCGAGGGAACCCCCATATTTTCACTGCATTAAATCACCCCTACCCGGACTGACCATCTCTACGGTCCACTTACGCCTTGAGTTACATGCACAAAACCCTTTCTCCCATCATGGAGCGGCTTCTAGAAGACTGACGAGCAGATGGCGTGAACAGTGTGGACACGCTGGAAAAAGGCATGACTCATAGCCCCAGTGGGACTAAGTCTGACAGCATGAGAACTCTTCACCCTACAGAGAATGCTTCACTCTTTAAAATGTATTTTTCTAATTTTCGAGGCTAAACTACGTTTTGGTCCTTTCTGGAATTTTTCTCCTATCTGGATGGTGGTTGACTATGAGTAACGGAATCTGATGGAGCCAGCCAAGTCACATGGGACAGCCATAGCCTGCCATAGTTGGCTAGTGTGCCCCCTCTAGAGCCAGAATTTGCTTTGCCTTGAGTTAAGCCTGATAGGCCATCTTGAAGGCCACAGAGGGCCCTAGAGGAAGCGGGCTTGAAGTCTGGCATCTGCCCTCTGCCCTGGGAATGAGCATCACCCACAGCTGCAGGCTGAGAGGAACCCTCATCTTGAATCTGGCAAGCAGCCACTCCTATACTATCATGTCTTCCCTCTGGGCCAACCCTGGCATCCTTTCAGCAGCTGCCTGAAGGACACAACATAAGCACAGTCTATGGTCTACAGACAGATGGGATGGAAAAGCAGTGCATGCCGGTCTGCCCTGCATCAGCTCCAAAATAACGTTTATCCAACCTTTGTGGGGAATTTTAAAGTGTGGTCTGTAATTGAGCAAAGGCTCAAGTCTGTGATCCCCACACTCAGGAGACTAAAGCAGTAGCATGAGAGCTTGGGTCCAGCCTGGGCTACAAAGCAGATTTTTTTTTTTCTTTTTAGGGTTTTGTTGCCAAGATGGGTGGTGCTTGTCTTTAATTCCAGCACTGGAGAAGTACAGACTGATATATCACCAAGTCTGAGACCAACCTTGTCTACATAACAGATTCCAGGTTAATCAAGGCTACATTGTGAAACGCTGTCTCAAACGAAAAGTGGGAGGGGCAGGAGAGCCATCACTATGAGAATCCCCAACCATCTTTAGGAGAAACAGCAAACATGTTGCAGACATCCTGATAAAGAGCAGCCTCGGATGGAACCTCACCATTGCTAAGAGTAAACATTTTAACAGTGTAACAAACATATCAACAGGCTTACGGAAAAGCGAGGATGGAAGGATCTTACTCACTGGTTTTGTGTTTCCGAGTATTTTACTGCAGGAGACAAATGTCTGTCAAGGATTTTTGAAGCTCAACATTGGCTTTGAACAACTTCAAGAGGCTGTACGGCCCATGCCACTGAGCATCTGTAAACAGCCCTGGGTTTTGCCTGCATGCTTCTAACTATCCAGTTCAATATCACTACAGCGCCTAAAAGGTTTTTAATATAGATTTTTAATATATCCATATCATCACTTCAGTGAGAGTGAGAGCAGGGCTTTTCCTCTAGGGTCTTCCCAGCTATTTGCTGCTGACATAACACCATTAAAAATAAACCTACCCAGAGGAAGTAGTCATTTTACATGGTATTAGGACTAATGTTATCATTTAGTAGCTTCAGAGATTTGCCCACAGCAGAGGCCCCAGATAATGACGGAAACATGATCGTGTGAGATGATTTTTTTCCACGGACAGCTTTCATCATCTGCAGCTTGTCATGTAGATGCTTATTTAAGACTTACACCACTGAGCAAACATTGTTTCTTTCAGAAGAATAAAACCATCAGTGCCACGGAGCGCGATAAGGGATGGCTTTCTCGTCTGGGGCTTGAGACCTGCTGGCTGCTGTATGAAACACCAGGCATACATCTCTGGTGTGAACAGGAAGGTGGAGGGGGACATTCTCTACCTTCTGCCTAGCACACACCAGGCTCGGATGCAGACACACCAACCTACATACTCAGCACGAAAGCCTTACAAGTTCAGCCAGTGTTTAGGAAGCGGAAATTCAAACAGAGTCAATCATTGAGAAGACATGATAAAACCAGGCCAGGAGACTGAGAGGTGGAAGGCTCACAAGTTCAAGACTAGCCTGGACTACAGAGTGAGTTCCAAGCCAGCACACTGACCCTATTTTAGAATTTTTTTTTTTAAATTTGTAACGGCTGAGACGAGCTCAGCGGTAGAACACTTGTCTAGCATTCACTAGGCCCTGGGTTCAAATCTTCACTACTACAAACAACTAACCAAGAAAGAAATAATGACCCCAAAGGCAGACAATGTTATCAGTCTGCCAAAACCACGGAGTCTGATGGAAGGCAAAGATCCTGAGACACAGGTAAATGAGTTCACGTCACCCTTACTTACCGACTGTGGGGAAGGTCTCAGCACCTTCCTCACTGCACCATGGAACACAGAAATCTCTCATGGTAGAATTTATACCCAGTCACCCACCAACATGTCCGCATCTCCTGAGCATCTGCAGTGTACTAGACTCTCGGTCACAAAACAAAGAGAAAGAAAGGGAAAGGGCAAAGGCCTGAGCAAGGTGTCTCCCATTCCTCTGGAAGGCAAGAGAACTGAGCTCTGAAGGCCAGCCTGGAAGGCATGGGAGACTGTCTCAAAGAGGGGAAGCATTGTCCTTGACCCCAGATTGAATAGCACATGTGGGCCCTCATGGCTCATTGGGAGCTGAATGCCCACACCGAGGGGCTAACGACAGGGTTAAAGTTATACTTCGAAGTGTGCACACAGGGGTAGGTAGCCCTTTGTGTTAGAGCATTAAAAAGGAAAGAGAGGG